CTAAAGGCGCTCTGCCGGACATGCCAAAGCTCGGTCTACGGCGGCGAGATGCTGAGCGGGCGCTCAAGCGCGTGAGATATGGAGCTTGTTTCAGGGCGCGTCGGAGAAACAAAGCTGTCGTTCTTGCCGAGCACTTCATGAGATTAAAGAGCGAGAGACGGCGCCCTTTTCTCTATAGTAGCTGAACCATCTTAACGGGGAAATAAGTTGTTGTAAAAGGAGCCCTTGGCAGGCGGCGTGGCTGGAGAGCAGCCGAAGATTTAAGGCGTGGATGGCGAGGGGGGCGGCGGGAGCGGACGCACCTCGCAGCATCGATCGGACCCTGAAAGCACCGTCTCCACCTCCCCACATCCACCCGCCCCGACGTCAAACGTTTGACTGCAGTATCTGATGCGCCTGATAATCCGGTGCGCCCTATATATGAAAAATGTTCTAAAATAGGTCATTCATTGAAGGGTGCGCCTTGTAGTGCAGAAAATACGGTATGTTCAGTAACATTGGTTGCGCTGAAAATGGACCAGGTCCATTTTGAATATCCTTTTTTAAAACTTCCAAACTAGCTCCTTTGTAATTCCCGTGGAAGTACACAAAGCAGCGCACAGCTAAACTAGTGTCTGAGATCCTGCGCCAGAACACCAGAGGGCTGGTCTGTATGTAACTTCAGGTAGGGGGGGGACAAAGGCGACGCTACATTTTTGACGTCACAAATTCAGCCTTTTCGAAACCGATCGTTTTACAGCTGCAGTTTCAAGTTGTGAGATTTAGATAGGAAAGAGGTATCAATGGGTGGATCGATGACAATGTATCAATGAGGTTCACTGTATGTCCATTTTACCCACTGAGCTGTCGTTATTCAACCATGACAAGGTCAAATTGGTTTTGCAATCAATGACCCCTTTAACACTCTTGATTACTGATAAGAAGATGCACAGTATGTTTCGTTATATTGTATTTTTTGTACATATTTTCTTTTTGCAGCAACTACACAGACCTGTATGCGCCTATCGTCAGTGATGACGACGAAGATCTAACTGTCAAACAAAATAATGAGGCATCTCCTAGAACCAATGTGAGTCATGAGTGCTATATTATTATAGTATTATCCATCCATTGTACGAGTAGTCATTAAACAAATAAACATCACTGTATTAAGAAGGGTGGAACGACAATTCCAGTTACTGTACCGAGAAAAACTGTTGTTGAAAAACTAGAGATCCAAAGAGATGTCTTGTTGTAAGGAACTGAATGTCTTAAATGTAGCCTATTGTTTTATTAACTGCCTCCTGTCCTGAGGAGTCAGAAAGTGTTATGAGTACAATTTATGAATATTGAATGAAAGGAAGGCTTAATTCCATTTGTGTTCATCTAATAAACTATACAATTCTGCTTGGAGGATCTTTTTTTACACACAATGTAACTTTTCTACTTTTTGTTCTAGGCACACAAGTGCACCTGAAATAATTGCAAATTTGGCGCTTGCCATTGACCACAGCAAAGTCAGCAGATTCCACGTGTCCAGATCTAATGTATGGGATGGTGCTGTCAGAGGTTTTCAGCGTTGCACGTACTCTGAGGAGAATGACATGTTTGTGAAGTTTACCGATGACGCTGGCTCCCATGAAGAAGGCCTAGACACCGGCGGGCCGAGGCGGGAATTCCTCACGCTTCAGATGAATGATCTGATCTTTGACGGACCTCCAGAAAGCCGTTACCTGGTGTACAACTCTACAGGTGTCTGTTTTTCATGGATTTTATTTTTTTTGTCAATATAATTTCATGAAAGTATTATTTTTGTTTTACATTAAGTCACACTTTCTGCCAAATTTAAGCACTTTAAAATAAGGGTTAAGGCTGGACACGACCCCTTTAGTCTTGTTAAACTTTCTGGCCATAGTCCCATGATTTATCACTTGAATGCTTTAAAAGTGACTACAGATTAGATTGTGTGACATTCACAAATGGTAAAGCATGTTCAGTGAAAAGCTTGTTGGTGGGTTGAGTGTTTTGAATTTTAAGACCCAGGAAGACTATTAACTTTAAACTCTGGTATAGTTACCAGGGTAACTAAAGCCATATGATCATTGTTCCTACTAGATTCAAAGAAGAACTTTTTGTTCGCACTCCAGCAGCATCCGTGTGTGTTGGCCCCACTCTTGTGCCACTCTCAGACAAACCTTACAGCTGCCGACATGGAAAGCCTGTTCACACCACTCCTCAGTCCAGCAGAAAGTAATAGTCAGCAGAAAGAAGGCAAAGCTCTTGGATTTTGGGCAGATTTTCTTCTTGATTGGGAAGGTTTGTTATAGCTTTTTTATATGGTGTTTGTAAAAAGTGAACCAGCCCAGTCACCTCCAGTCAGCATCGGCGTTGTTCCTGGTTCATCATCAGGTTGCTGCTATTCCTTTCACCACCACCACCAGTGTCTGGACTCCAGGAGGATTAAGCCCAGTGTGTAATAAAGTATTATTCTATTAAATGAGTCTCTCCTGATTGAACTACTAGTTTGACACTCGACGTGTGAGAAACAGAAAGAACTTTGCAGACGAGTCTGGTGATGACAGTGAAGTAGCGCTTACTGATAGTCAGAGATTTTAGGTTGAAACATATGTCATCATTGACAGACTTTGTTTGTGCCCATCGAAGCCTACACACATGTGTGTGACCTCTTAGAGTTTTATTTGAGAGGGACTGCAATGATTGTGATGTGCGTGAAAGAGCTGCTAAGCTGTGCTCCACTTATCTGACAGATCTGGATAGTTCCTTCTCAGACAAACTTATTTACTTCAAGCACTTGAGACTTCACCTGTACAGCTTCTGATTTTGAAGATATTGTACACCAGCTTGCAGAAAAGTCCAGAAAAATGCCACTGTAAGATGTGTTTGCCAAATGAAACCAAGCATTTCAAATTTAAACATGCAATTTCCCATTATTTAGGATTAAAATAGTGTATGTTGACAGATTATGTCACATTTCTGTAAATTCTGTTTATTGTTGAGAAAACAGGATTAAGCCCAAAAAGGACACCTGTAGGTGTGTTGAAGGCCGTCTTCCACTCGTCTCCCTCCTTGACCGGGACCAGGTGGTAGGCGTTACGGAGGTCCAATTTGGTGAAGATAGT